CCGCCGTTCGGCAAACGGCAGGACAAAAATAGCTTCTCTCTAGGGGCTGCAATAGGGCTGCTCAACTCCGCTGTGCTCTGCTCCACTCTGCTGCATGAACCCAGGGCTGACCTTGGAGCAGGGACTGCACAAGCTCCTCCAGCCATCTTAGGTAGGCACTGCCCGCCACTCTGAGCCACACTAAGGGGCTAATCACAGGGTAAGCCCGGATCAGCTTTGGTGTCCGTGAAGCCACAGCTGTAGCCCCTCTCCCTTGAGAGCTGGGAAAGGGAAAGATGGAAGGGGACCAGGATGGAGAAGGGAGAGTGCCTGGGCTGGGGCACTCAGAAGCACGAGCAGGTTTCTCCTCCCTGGCTGCTGCAGACAACCTGCTAGCCAGGTCCTCTGGGGCTTCCCAGCCCCAGGGCTCCCAGCTCAGGCACGAGCTCTGCCGGAGGTTGTCTGCCTGCTGTACGGGCTTGGGAGGGGGAGCACCAGAGCTGTCAGACCTGCTCACTGAGAGATGTACCAAGACTGTGCGCTCCGTCTCCATGGGTAAAGCAGCACAGCGCAGGAGCTGGCTGGCCAGCTGCTGCCAGGGAGACGGTCCTTTTCCCTGCCTGTCTTTGCCAGTGCAGACAGACCACGGCACAGCAAGTGAGCTATTAAAGAACAGCTCCAGCCAGCCAGCAAACATGCGCTCATTCATCATTTTGGAGCAGGCAGGGGGATGTGCCAGCTGCTTCAGCCAGGACCCCTCACAAAGCCCATGCCCAATAGCTCGGCAGCCTGGAGGGGAGCTGGGATCAGACTAGGGGGCCCAGGACCCTCCAAAATGCCTTTTCATGTCCTGGGGGTGCTGGGAAAGCTGCCCTACCCCAGGCTGGGAGCTTGTGCATTTCTGAGCCGCAGCCCCAGCATGGCAGCATCATGCAGAGCCAGCTTGGAAAGGACGTGAGGGTTGGCATGGGCTTCACCAAGGCCTGACCCGCCCCCACATTCCCACCTGCACCGGGCAGGCAGAGCTGCACGGCTCTGTGCAGTGGGAGGCTCAACTCAGGTGGAGCAGAGTGGGAGACTGGCTGCCAGGCACCCGCAGGGAACTGTGAGGTTCCTGCAGGTCAACACTAGCTCTTTTAGAGCCCTTGCACAGTACTGCCTGGTTTTACCCCTGCTTCTCTCCCCTGGTGCCACTGTCTCCCTGCCTGTCGCCATCCCTGGAGCCCAGCCAGCTGTGCTGGGTACTGGAGTGCTCCAACTCCCCATCTGGAACACCCCTGATTCAGGACAGGGATACCCCTTTACACAGCCCAAATTAGGGGCCTGAACAAGAAACCATCCCTTTGTTGGTGCTAGCATGTAGCTGAGGTATGTGTTGTCCTGGCTAGAGTGACCCTTAGTAGCAGGGGATCTGTGTATGTCAACAGCGTCCCAGCAAAGCCACACCACCAGCAGCTGAAGATTTGGCCAAGGGCAGGAGCCTGAGAGCAGCTTTGAGACTGACTGTGCCTGGAGCCCTACTCTGTTCCTCCCTCGCATCCAAGGGCACGTCATTCCAGCTGCCTGGGGTGGGAACCCCAATTCCCTGGGGAAGGGAAATGCTGCCCTCCCCTCCTGCTTTGTGCCTTTCCCTGCCAACTGACCATTTACAACCGAGACCTAAAGGAAGAGCCAAGCAGAGATGACACCAAGGACATAGCTTGTGCTATACCACTGCCTACCAGCCTCAGGGCTGGAGCCTGAAGAGTGAAACTGAAGAGGGGGGAAAAGATCCTCCTCTTTCACGTGGAAGAGCAGCTGCCTCCCAAGTAAGCTGCAAAGCTGCTTCTTTACCTGCCTAAGAAACATCCTGCTGTTCTTGTAGGGCTTGGGTAATTCCCTGGTGCTTGCAGGAAGCCCTTGCTGCTGCCAGCAGCGCTGGCTTGGGGAAGGACTATGGGCTCACTGACCTCCTCTACCCTAGAGCTGCTCCCGCAGAGGGACACAGGCAGCTGCAGGCAAGAAGGGAATAACTGGCCCTAGAGCTCTTCTGCTGCTCATAGCCAAGGCCTCAAGCTGCTTCACTGAACAGCCCTGGGCTGGATTTTTAAACAGGCTTCAGGCAAATCTCCCCTCCTGGGAGTGGTAGGAGATGCACACACACTGAGCTGCTCGGTGCTGGTAACTGCAAGCCCAGCTGGGGGAGGCAGGGGAGCTCTCCCGCCCGATCCTCTGCGTGAAAGCTTGCAAAGCCCAGCTCATCACTGCTGAATACAAATAGCCCTTCTTAATGAGTTTGGGGAAGCCAACTTGGGAGAGCTCACACAGGGTGGGGTGGCTTCATGTGTTTCACTTGAAACAATCTGAGAGCAATTTTACTCCAGCAGGAGCAAGCAGTATGCAGGAAGGTCTCTGCTTCCTCACTTGCAAAATTCAGCTGTGGGTTTCTGATGAGACCATGTTTGCATACCAGAAAATCAGTCCATCCTCAAACATGCGAAGAGAGCAAAGACAACAAGCTCCTTCCCATCCCCTCCCTAGGGCTCCTCCATCTTCTCGGCTAGGTTGAAGTCAGCTCTGTATATCTAAAGGTGCTGACTTCATCAGGAACCTTGTCCTGATTTTCTTCCTCTGTATTTGTACCCCTTTACCAAATTCTCCTGGTTACTTCAGACCAGCCTAAACTGGCCTCGAGTAGGTGATGCTGGCTCAGATCCACTTTGATTCTGGCCACTCCCAATGCAAACCTCCGTGTCTGGGGGTCTGTGTGCACATGTGCATGTTCTTTGCAGATCCCACTGAGGCCTCCTGCAAGGAAACAGCAGGACGTGGCTGGCCACAGCACAGGATACATGGGAATGGGACTTTGCCCTTCTTCCCTGCCATGGCACAGAGGGCACAGCTTCTGCTCTGCCCCAGATGTGGCACATCAGCCCCAGGCATCAGGAGGCCTGGCTGGAAGTCTGAAACCCGGCTCTGAGCCTGCGCTTTTGTTGCAAACACCTCCAGCATCAGCAGTGCAGGAGGAAGCGGAGGGGCTGGCTTAGCTCCTCCCGGTTGATAATTCATTACTGCCTGTTAGCCTGGATCCATCCGGCAGCAGCTACATCCTGGCACTGACATGTGTTCATTTCACACATAAAATGCTGTATCAAAATGCATCATTGAGACATTCTCCCTGAAACCTTTCCCAGCTGCCTCTCCTGGCGCTTTACATGCAGGAGCAGTCCCGGCAATTGGGGCGTTTTGTTCCTAATGGATGCCTGGCACCCGCCATAGCAATCAGAGCTGCAGGATCTGTCCTCCAGCTCATGAGAAATACAAGGGGGATCTTCCTGCAAGGGGCAGGGAGGCAGCAAGCAGAGGGTGCAGGTTTCATCCATGGCATGCTCGGATCTGGAGAGGGAGAAGCAGCCTGTGTGCACATGGCTGGTTTATCGCATACCATTTTGCAATGATGCAGAAGTGCAGCATCTCTTCTCTCCTCCCCTGAGGGCTCTGGGAGCCCTGGGCAGCAGGGCTGGCTGGTCTTGCCCTGGGGACCTGGACGAGGCCCCTTCCCCTTTCTCCAAGGTCCCTGACTTTGGCCTGATGCTGGTGACTGTCAGCGTGGTGGTAAATCTCCCCTCCAGGGCTGAGCAGGAAGAGCCAGGGCAGGTGGGGGACCCAACGCTTGCACAGCAGGTGCTGGGGCTGCTCCCCCCAGGCTGGGTGCCTCCTGACTCCCTACAGAGCCGTGCTCAGGGTCGGGCTGGTTCTCATGAGAGCTGGGGCTCGAGCCCCAGCCAGCCTTTCCCCAGCCCCAAGCCTTCTCCAGCTGCCCCCCCAGCACACACTCACAGTCTTCAAGACCTTCACCCCCTCCCCCCCCCATCCTCCCCTCCGGCATTTCCCAGGGCTCTTCTTCCCCACTGTGTCCCCTAGCACCGTTTGGGGGGGGCTCTGCTGGTTTGGGAAGGTTCATCCCTTGCCTTGTAGGTAAGAATAGAGAGCAGGAGCCGGGTGAGAGCGGCCAAGTTCAGGAGACCCCCCCAGACCCTTCCTGTGCCCCCTGTCCTCCGGGCTC